GGGTGCAGGGAGAGGTGCTGCGCCCTGCTCGGCTCTTCCAGCTGCACGCGTTTGTGTATAAAAATGTATAATGTATGCCTTTGGTTCGTGTGTATTTCTCAGCATGCTGTTCATTGCCCACAAAGTGTCGGGCAGCCTGGCCAGGAGCGGCTTTGGGGACCCCCACCTGCAAAACCAGCCCATCAGCAGTCCCATGGGATGGCCCGCTGGGTTTATTTTTAATTTCCAGGCTGGATGGGGTTTCGTGACCCCGCGCCGGCGCAGGGCGGGCAGTGGCAGGGCTGCTGTCTGCAGCCCCCCTCCGGGTCACCCTGTCGCTTGGCCGGGAGCAGGCCAATGGGTTCGGTAGCAGCCAGACCTGTAACATGCCCAGGCGCGCACCTGCATACGTGAAACCTGTCTGTTGCAGCATCCTCTGCTACTTGGGGCTGGGAAGGTGAATAACTGGAGCGCCGTTTTCATTAATTTCTCAAAACAGGTTTGTTTCCAGAAGAGTTGCACTCTTTCTGAAAGCGATGAGGTCGGCAGGAGAGCAGGGAAGCACGTTGCTGGTGCCAAGGAGCAGGGTAGATGGTTAGCCTGTGTCTCTCACCATATTAACCTCCTGATCATTTTTCTCATCTGTGCTTGCGTGTACAGCATTTGTTTATCCACGATTGGGAATGGACTGTGAGCCATCCTGGGCTGAGGACTGAGGTGCCGGACAGAGCTGTGATGTCCATGGGTAATGGATGCAATGTCCAGGCTGGATCATGGCTTCGAGGTGACTCTGTTGATAAGTCAGAGTTCAGTGAAGGGAGAAAAGCAGTTAAAAGCACATCCCAAAGCTCAGAGAAAATGAGGGAATTTTAAAATGAAGTGTGATTGCTCATAGGGAAGCAGTGTAAAGATAGATGCTGACGCTAATGTGGAAACCACCCTGAAAGCTGCATTCCTGATACAGGGAAGGAATTACCAGCTGATGGAAATTGCAGAGGGTGAGTGAATACTTTATCGTGCTGCTTAGTGCAAAATGCGTGGAGATGTTTGGAGTGAGGTTGTTATCCCTTAAGGCAGTTAGTATTAGTCTGTCAAAGCATGTGGACTTGAAACAGCCAGTGGCCCAAGGCAGCTGCAGCAGGAGGAAGGCACAGTGGCGAGCAAGCCGTGTTAACATCCATGTGGGTTTGCAGAACCCTGGTACCTGGTGGACAGGCTCCTAACCTCACTGCCAGGGAGGGTTCTTCATTTTGTCTGCCTTGAGGAAAAGGCCCCACAGAAGGAGCTTGGGTGAGATCATCTGCTTTAACCTTGCTGTCCAAAAGTCATCCCTTTGTGCCTGATCTCTGTTCTTTAAGCTCCCTTTGCAGTCACAGCAGAGAAACAGGCGCTTCTGGGGGTGATTCATCTCACCATTCTTGGACACCTCTCTCTGGATGAGATGAATTACGTGCTGGAGGTGCCTGGGCTCTTTCATTGACTGCAAAGTGAGTCCAGGATAGCTGGCTTAGGCTTTGGCAATGAGGAGTTAGATGAAACACATCCCACCCAGCGTGTCTGCTCATGATGCAGCTTGACAGTTTATGCAACTGATTCAGATTCCCTGTTTCTCTTAGACTGAGCACTGGGAGGAGAGACAGGCCTTTGAAATCCTACTTTAAAATAACTGAAGCTAAGGGAGGCAGCGATCTTGTGCCTAAAGCTATAGCTTCAGGGTGGGTATGTGAAACCCTGCAATCGCTTCCTGTCTCAGCTGTGACACTTTCTGCAACCTTTGGCAAGTTCTTTGTTTTTCTGGATCGTGGCAGGAATGTATAAATGTATATGTAGCCGCTTAGTTTTGCAGTATTAAACCATGTCTGAGATTAGGGCTTTTCATTTGGGTCCCGTTGACAGAACTGAGTCAGGAAGTGATTGCACTGACCTTATGCCAGCAGGTACAGCAAGGCTGGGATGCTTTGGATGACTCAGCGGCAGCTAAAGCATTGTTTCTTATGCACCTTTAATACACCTGTGGCTCAACATCCATTGGTGAAGTGCTAATGATAACCCTGGTGAGGTAGACAGCTGTTTTATAAGGGTAAGCACATAAATACATGTTACAGCCTTCAGCAGCTTTATAGATAGACCAGGTAACAATGTCCTGTTAGTGCCAGTGATTGAACAGGCAGAACACTGGCCTAGTGCCTGCCCAAGAACACTGTTGGATTTTATCTTTGGTCTCAAGAAAGTGAATAATCAGCTGTAGACTCATAATTTTTATAAGCACAAATTATATGCATTGCCTTGGTTATCAGCCCAATGATTTCTGCTGTATTATAAATACAGTTACTGGCAACGTCAGAAGGTTGCTTGATTTCTTTGGGTATTTATTACAGAGAAGTGGTTCAGTGCTCAGTGTGAAACTAATGATCCAGAAAGAAAGAAATGTGGGACTGCTTTGAAACTTTGGGATGTTCCATATCAGTTTAAGGCACATACTGACTCTCATGGACATGCTTTTCTTACATGGATATGTCCAATGGGCAGAAATTAAAATGGATCTTTCAGGGACTTAGTCTTGATTTTCATATGCTGTAAAATAAAAGGCTTAAAGTGTTACTCTTCCCTTGCACCAGTGCTCAGGAGAGTGAAATAAACTGACTTTTTAAAGAAGTCAGAGAGAAGAAAAAGAGTTTTTTGATTTGCAGCTTCTCTGAGGATGGAAAAGAGCATGTACTTCAGGTAGAGCTCACATAGTTGACTCTTAAAAGCAGGACTGGAGTGGAATAGTGAGCTGAGTACAGTTTCCATCAGCCTGAGCTGCCAAGGCTTTGCAGTTACCTTGAGATGTTGCCATAAACCACTGGAGTGGGGGGAGGACTGCTCGGGTTTCCCTTTTGCTGGCAGGAATCGAATCTTTGACTTCAGAAGGAGGTGGCTGTAAAACTCACAAAGGCGAGAAATTAATCTGTCTCTCCCTCTCTGATGTAGAAAGTCCCGGAGGCAGTGCTTCCACCCAGACAGGCGATTTACCTGGAACTCTTCCAGACTGAAAAGCACCTTCCTGAAGGCACTTGTCCAGCCAGTGTCTGGGGCAGAAAACTTCCCCTGTGTCCCCGTCACCTTCCCATCCCTCCCTGCTGCATCCCATGTGTGTGCACACCCATGCTTGTTTCAGCTGTGAAGGTGTCATGGACATCGTTTTGGCTGTGTTTGCGCACACCAGGTTAATCAACCCTGACCTTAGAGCTCAGCTAAAACGTTCTTTACTCCATTTCATGTTCTTCTAATAGTGACTTATCTGGCAATTCGACTTTGAGGTCAAAATCTGCACATATGTTTTCCTTGAAGATGTGCTTTGCAGTCTTGGTATAATTTAAAGGATCAGACTTTTCAGGCAGGGATTTTCTCCAGTGTGGATTTATGTTGGTATTTAAGATAGTAGTTGGTAATAGCCCTCGACCTTGGGTTGCAAGGATATTTTCAGAAGATAAATGGCATTCTGTTCTCTTGACTGTGGGTCCATAGGTGACACTTTGAAGCTTTTTGAAATATTACAGAATTCTCTCATTATAGGTATGGTTTTGAATGGAAAGTGTAGCATTAGCTATTTTTTTCTGTGGGTGTCATAAAATAATTGGACAAATACTTAGTGAATGCTTGCAGAATTACTGCTGCTTTTCTCTGAGTGGACTCAATAGACACACCAGTTTGTTAGCATCCATACCAGCTTCTCCCAGAACTAAATATATCTGTATTTTTTAATCCTCTTGATCTCTTGGGAGTTGATCTGTCACTTCCTAATGCTGTAGCAGCAAGTTCCTCCAAATATATCACCTGAGATGCTCCCACCTGGTTTTTGTATGCATTTTATCATGCCATTACTGACAGGAGGCAACAGGAGGAGGAAAAGGAGGTATAAAATCCTAAAGGAAAGGAAACAGGGAGGCTGTACATGGTTGTTGTATGTGGCAGTAGGCTGGTCTGGCAAGGGATGTTTGGGTCAAGCAGTCGCCGGCACTGGTGGGACTGGGCTGGTGGCAGATGGTAGCTGGGCAGCACTGGTGAGCCAATCCAGGGTCCCTCCTGGACGCCCGCCTGGCCAGCAAAGACTCTTCAGATGCCTTATCGGGAGTGGTGAGCACACAAATGCTTAGCCTGATAACTCATTACGTCCCGGCTATCTTTTGTGTCTGTTAGCCAACAAATATTTGCTTTATACTTTTAAGTTGTTGTGCATCCTGCCTGCGGATCCTCTTTGCATCTGGCTGGACGTGCTTGAACAAACAGAGATCTCAGAGGGGCTGAGGTGTGGGGTACATCTGTGTGGTCACACATGGTCCTGGGCAGGCAGACACTCATGGTTGTCTGCTTGGAGCATGATCAGCTTTCTTTCCTTAAGTTAGTATTGCAGGATACAATATTTTGTGGCTTTGTTCTTGGGAGCAAACATTTTGGTGGGTCTTGGTTAAGCAGAAACTTAATTTAACACCTTTTTTAAAGGGTGGGGGTATCTCAGCCTGCAGCCTTTCCAGGTGCGGATGAGATTAATTTGCTTATCTTAGGTGATGGCAGGTAATTGCACGTGCGGGGGAGGTACTGTAGTCAGGATGTTAAAACAGAAAGAAGTCGAATGGCTCCCATGTTCCTCCCCCACTGTGCAAGCTCTTTTGCATTAAAACACCCCGTCTAGCAGATCTGCAGGCAGGAGTCTTCCCTCCTCCTCCTCCTCCCTGATGGGGTTTGGTGGGGGCCAAGAAGCCACTGATGAATTGTGACTGTAAAGCGCTGAACTTTGAGGGGAGATGAAAAAAACCTTCGAACCATTTGCCGGCCTGGCAGCGGGTACGTGGGTCGGTAATGGGGTTTATCTTCTGACATCATTAGGATCTCTGACATTTCTAGCTTAGAAACAATAACTCTCCTTATCCGTTGTCATGTTTTTCTAATTAAAGACAAAGCTTGGTAAATATTTT